AAAGGAAGAAGAACTAACCGAATCAAAAGGGCAGACCTGTTTTGAAGGCTAAGTTGCTTCCAAATGCTTAAAAATTAATCTAAATTGGAATTTGCAGAAGAAAATATGAACAAAGATGAACAAACCTAGGTTAAGGCTATGAACTAATCTGGAAAATATGGAAACTATTGCTGAAATCTGGAAAATGCAGTCTGGAAGCTGAAAAACATGCTCTGGGCAGTCTGTGTGTGTGTTGGGTAGGCCTCTCAACTATTCTCTTCTCTCTATTTTTGTTCTCTTTCGGTGCTGGAAACTTCCTCCATGAATGTCGATACTATTCCTCCATGATCTGGTAATGGGGTTCATGTTTGGCAGTTGTTTGACAGTTATCCAATAGTTTTTATTTAACCTTATCTCTAACAACCTTAAAGATAACTACCTGAAAACCCTCAATTTCCCATTTTAAATCAAACTCAAACCACCATATCCAATCTTATCTTCTACCACCTAAGATCCAACCTTCTTGGAAATCCGTCTGGGCCATTAAATTGTAAGTCAGCCCAGCCCAAATCCAACCTATTGATTTTCTTGATAATTGGGCTTTACCTTGACACGTGACTTTACTCTATTGGTTTATTTAGGTGTAAACAATGCCCCCTAACACTTGATTTTATGGGAATAAATCCAAGTATTTAAATTCTAAACTCACCTCCAAAGACTCCTAAAGCCACGTGCCTAATTGATTTAAATCCTAACCTTTTTATACTCCTTTCCCAAAAATCTGCAGATTTCCTTATCACATCTCAATCTCCTTTTCATTTAAATATATTTATATACTCCATTGACTCAGCCCCCTTTTTTTTTTTTTTTTAAATCAACGCCTCATCACCTACCCACACTTAAACCCACTTCATTTGAGAAATCACAACCAAAATAGAACAAACCCACCTTCTGTCGTCTTCTTCAACCTCGCTGTTTGCAGATCTAGCCTTAGATCATGGCTGGCAGCAAGAAAACCGGCACTACATCTGGCGCAGCCGGAGCTTCTTCCCCTCAAACTGGTCCTCCAGAACAGACAGACCTCGTTGACATCTTCAAAAACTGAGATCTGCAAGAAGAGCTTTCTTCGATTTGTAATCAGGTACCGAGAGGCTTTTCAGACCAAATTTTTCTTGAAACTTCAGATTCTTTAATTCTGGGTCCTGTTTTCACATCAGCACCTCCTTCAAATTTGCATGCTCTGTATCCTCAACTTCACAGACACTTCCTCCCTTTCCAACTCAAACCAGACTAGGAGCCTTGGCTCGGCAGATTTGGGTCTTGGCCAACTAACAAGTCTGATGACTGGCCTGCCTGGGTTGCTCGGCTGGAAAAACCCTTCAGAAACACATGGAAAACACTGGGTTTGTACGAATTTATTCAGATGACCACCTACCAAACGTCCATGGATAGGGTTTTGCTTGGAACTGCCTTACTGTTTTGGTCTGGGTCTTATAATTGTTTTCATTTCCCTTGCGGTGCTATGTCTGTTACTTTGTTTGACATTTGTTCTCTTACTGGTCTGCCTTGCATTGGAGAAGAAATCACAGCCTTATTGAGCGTCCTGGGTGCTGATTTTGACACAAAATCCATTCTACCCTCCTACAATGCCTTTATTAAAGCTAGCCAGAAACCATCTGAAGCCCCAGACGTGAGAGAACATATTGCATTTCTGCTAACCTTAATTTGCAAGTTCATTGTCTACATGGCTTGAAAATGAACCCACTAAAGTGTGCCTTTGGAGTGTCTGCGGGTAACTTCCTTGGGTACTTGGTGCATGAGCGTGGTCTGGATGTTGACAAGAACAAAGCCAAGGCTGCCATGAGCTAAAGCTAAGGCTAGAGTAATATATTCTTTGGTGGGTCCTTTTCCAGCTACACAGACAATGAACTTGCAAACTAAGGTTAGAAGAAATGCAGTATGTTCTCTCACGTCTGGGGCTTCAGATGGTTTCTGACTAGCTTTAATAAAGGCATTGTAGGAGGGTAGAATGGATTTTGTGTCAAAATCAGCACTCGGGACGCTCAATAAGGCTGGGATTTCTTCTCCAACGCAAGGCAGACCAGTAAGAGAACAAATGTCAAACAAAGTAACATACATAGCACCGCAAGGGAAATGAAAACAATTATAAGACCCAGACCAAAACAGTAAGGCGGTTCCAAGCAAAACCCTATCCATGGACGTCTGGTAGGTGGTCATCTGAATAAATTCGTACAAACCCAGTGTTTTCCATGTGTTTCCAAAGGGTTTCTCCAGCCAAGCAACCCAGGCAGGCCAGTCATCAAACTTGTTAGTTGGCCAAGACCCAAATCTGCCGAGCCAAGGCTCCCAATCTGGTTTGAGTTGGAAAGGGAGGAAATGTCTGTGAGGTTGAGGATACAGAGCATGCAAATTTGAAGGAGGTGTTGATGTGAAAACAGGACCCAGAATTAAAGAATCTGAAGTTTCAAGACAAATTTGGTCTGAAAAGCCTCTCGGTACCTGATTACAAATCGAAGAAAACTCTTATTGCAGATCTTGATTTTCGAAGATGTCAACGGGGTCTGTCTGTTCTGGAGGATCAGTTTGAGGGGAAGAAGCTCCGGCTGCACCAGATGTAGTGCTGGTTTTCTTGCTGCCAGCCATGATCTAAGGCTAGATCTGGAGACGGCGAGTTTGAAGAAGACGATAGAAGGTGGGTTTGTTCTATTTTGGTTGTGATTTCTCAAATGAAGTGGGTTTAAGTGTGGGTAGGTGATGAGGTGTT